TTATGTTTAATGCTTTCAACACAGCCAGCCAAGCCAACATGAACAAGCAATATGTGTTCTGTTCACATGATTGCTGAATACATATACATATACGAATACATGGTGCACTATTAGAGGTATGGGATGGGAATGAATTTCAGTTGCTGGCTGGATGAACACTTTCTTTCAGACTATTTCTGGGCTGGAATGTGTTAACTGACAATAGGATCAGGTATCAGGTATCAAAAGATCCAAAACATACAAATATATTGATGTGAACGAGGGGGATTGGAGTGGAGACCCAAAGCCCATCTGTAGACAATTGGATATCCCCCACAGAAGGGTTATAAGGATGGGATGATTCAACCAAGGTGTAGTATAGAACGACGAACCACACATCATTCCTCTAGTTCCTGAATGCTTCCTCTCTCTCCCACTACCATGACCCAGTTCTACCTTACAAAACAAGCTAGACCGGAGAACACATATTGGTATAGGTAAAAGCTCTGGACACATGGAATCCAGGACAGATAAACCCCTCAGGAACAGTAGTGGGAGTAATGATAACATGAGGGTAGAAGGACGGTCAGGAAGGGAGAAGGGGGAGAACCCACCAAAGGTTGTATATATAGCCCCCACACACAAGGGGACGAATATGTGGTAAAGGGAGACAATGGGCAGTGTAAGATACAAAATAATAATGGCAATATATAATTTATCAAGGATTCATGAAGGTGGGAAGGTGGGGGACAGAGGGAGAAAAAGAAGAACTTATACCAAGGGCTCAAGTAGAAAAGGTTTTGGAAATAATGATGGCAACATATGCACAAATATGCTTGATACAATTGATGCATGGAATGTTCTAAGAGCTGTAAGAAAATTATTTTTTTAAATAATCTAAGTAGGAGCTCTTTAATGTCAGTGTGGCTTTTCTGGCCCTTCCTCTGACACACTCTTTATGAACTTAATTAATTTATGTAGGAATATTTATTGAACATCTATTGTACACTGGGCATTATTCTAGATTTAAGGATTCATCACTGAACAAGAGAGGTTTGGCCCCTGCTTTCAAAGAACTTACGTTCTAATGAACTAGGCAGATAAATATAAAGCCTACCAAAAGATAGAGAGTGACTGTGGAAAGTGCTAAGTAACGAAAATAGGTTGGAAAATGCATAGAAAGTTTCTGGCACAGAGGAGATGGGCAGTCACTGGCCTGCAAGAGCAACTGGAAGAAAGTCAATTCAAGGGCAAGGCAAGCAACACATGGGATGAGGTGGTTAGAGCGAAGAGGTACAGGAGAAAAGTCTAAGCATTTAAACTTCTTTAGGGCCTGGCTTATAGATGCTTATACTTCCTTGCTTTATTCTTCGTTGTACCTTCTGGTCTTGGAAACCAGGCTCTGCTTGTGGTGAGAATGATGAGGAAATAAATGAGCAATCTTGAGAAAGTCCTTGCAACAGGTTACTTGTTCCACTGACCTTCCTCCAGTGTACTGTCTGCTTCTCTAAACCAAGCTTGTAAACATACACTCTGCCTTTAGAGGTGAGGAGATAACAGGTTTGGCAGCATTTGTTTCTTTTCTGTCTTATTCCCAGTCATATCCTGGTTTTGACATCCTGACTGCAGGGAACATCCTTTGGAGAAGTTGGGAGGCCAGGCAAATTTCTCAAGAACTGGAGAAGGACTCTCTGTAGGGAATTCCCCTGCCTATTCCAGGAAGCAAAAGGACACAATATATGACTGAACTCCAGTTATGTCGGGATATGCAATTCATCTCTACAAACATATCCAGTAAATGCAAATGTTCATTTGCATCTTCTTAATTTTCATTTGCTTTAGTTTCCCGGAAATGTTTCACCTAGAAAAGAGTCGCATATGTGAATCCCCTGGTGTTCTTGATTGTAGATTTATGTAAATAAATTAGATCCTCAGAAGGTAAATTAGAAAGTGTTGCCACTAGGATTTCAGCTCATACCTGGACTGCTTTGTTCTACAGAATGTGTTTGCACCTGTCTCTATCTTTAGTGGATGACTGCAGACAAACAAGTTCTCTCAGTAATAGGAGGATTAGTAAAAGAGTATTGCCACCATGAACATATTCATCTCAGCATTATTCACAAAGCAAGAAGATGGAAGTAACCCGGATGCTCACCAGTGGAAGAATGGATAAATATACTTTGACAAATGCTCATAAAGATGAAACTGTGAAACACCTCATGACATGAATGGATTTGGAGGATATTACGCTGGATCATTATTCTATCAGACCACTGTCATACATGTAAAAAAATAAGATAAAGGTTTTCATACAAAAATACCCCAGATTTTGATGGTTACCATTGATGGGAGAGGAAGGATGAGAAGGAGAAGAGGGATATGGAGGGTAAAAAGTCAGGATAGGGCAGGGCAAGATATTGGGAGGGTTGATAAGTTGTAAAAGTTGTTGAATACAAATACGTAAACCCTTACTTAACTTACAATAAAATATGTTAAGTGTTGCTACAAAATCATAGAACCCTTTAACAAACAAAAACATCAAAATGCGAAGCTATTGTGTCTCCATCTATCCTCAACGTCTGTATACTTCTGAAGGCATTGTTTCCATCTCTCCAATCCTTCCCTGAAAAAATTCTGAGTTCTTAGATTTATATCACTTCAAAATAATAGTTTTTTGAGATTCGTGGGGGACACAAGTGATATTCCTTTTAAATATTCTTTGAGTATTTGGTAACAAAAAGAAGTCTGAATGGGGAAAGATCAGAGCTGTAGGGTAAATGGGGTAAGATTTCCCCCAGAAAATTCTAGGCTAGTTCTTGCCACTCTTGAAGAGCCTGCAGGTACATTGTCATGGTGGTGGTGGTGGTGGTGGTGGTGGTGGTGGGTGGGTGGGGGGAGTCCTCTTCGCAACCTTCCTGACATTTTTCTCACCAATGCAATGTTAATTTTCTTAAAACTTCTTCATAACCAATCTTTGTGATTATCCGATGTATTTTGAGAAAAATCTATCAAGATTACTTTTTCAGAATCTCCCTAAACCATAACCTCTTGAGATGATCTCTTTGGTTTGAATTTATTGCCCCAGCAAGCTCCTTTGGAAGTCATTGTTTCAAAGGAATCTTCCCCTCTGGATCATGTTGATAAGTAAACGCTTCCCTGGTTACAATTGTTCCATACATTTGTCTTCATTAGTTTCCGCTTGCTTAAATCCTGATGAAAAGACCAACTCTGAGTTAACTGATGCTTGCACATTACCTTGGTGTCCTTTAAGCCAAAAGCTTGCTGAGGCTAAGATGTTCACATAAATTAAAAATAAAATTTTAAATGCATCTTGACTAGATAGTATGTCATGGTAATCCTACAATCCCCTTCCACTACTTTCCGGATTTCAGCCACTGTTTTGTCATTTGTCTAAGTTAATAAATTTCTTCTCTTAGTTAATCTATGAGGTCTTCCTGGCCCTCCTTAAAATTCTTGATCCATCTAAAAATTGTTGTTTCATTTGGGGTAGCATTCTCATAAACTTACTGCAAAACTTTATTATTTGAGAAAATGTTCATTTGAGTTCGGTCAAAACTTTGATATTAGCCTTGACCACAAAATAGGGTTTTTCCATGCACAAAAAGTATCCTTTTAAAAATAAATTTTGAAAGGCACCTAATGAGACTAAGGAGCTTTGGTGGTGGTGTCCGGTAAGCATTGGACTAACAACTGCAAGGTTGGTGGCTTAAACCCACCAGCTGCTCTGAGGGAGAAAGAAGAGGCTGTCTCCTCCCTTAAGGATTTACAGCCTCAGAAACCCTGTACATGGTCACTATGAGCTGACATCGACTCGATGGCAGTAAGTAAGATCGAGACTAAGACAGGTATATTACAGTGAGGACTTTCCTCCAGCCACCCACGAGTCACACGTCTTTTTTTATTCCAAATATGAGTAACTTGAGCTCTAGTACAAAAGGAGCAGTACATTTCAATTTAGCTTAGTAGGTGCTGCCCCCTCGTCTCTTCCCAGAGCCTATTGTTAAACATTTATCAGCACTCCACTGAAGCTGCCCTATGCCAGTCTACATGACTTGCATCATAAAACGTTCTGTCTCTCCTCGCCAGCCCTTTCTCTCAGCTAGGCCCTTTGTGTGGAGAATACACTGACAGCATTACTGTTGTGGGCTTCTCCCTCGGGGCTCCGGCTCCATCACATCCATTTTACTTTGATATGTCTATGCTCTAAACTAACTCCTGGCAGCCAGAAAACTGTTCTCGTCCCAGAGTCTTGAATAAGGAATGTGTGACACCCTCTCTTACCTAACACATTTTGTTTTCTCTCTTGTTCGGGATCCAAGAATGGTTTGCCTTCTACCATCACATGGCAGGAAAACTGCATCCAAGGCTAACAACCTTTACGGGAGTAGATAGCCTCATCTTTCTCCCTTGGAGTGGCTGGTGGGTTTTGAACCTTTGGGTTAGCAGTTCCATGCTTACCTAACAACATCACAAGCAGCCTTAAGTTTATGAAAATTAATAGTCAATGAAAAAAATCACATTTCATTCAAGTCATTCATTATTCTGTTTATCATTTATTTATTGTGTTCCTTACTATGATACCAGGCTACAAGAAACAAACAGTGAACAAAACAGCCCTGCCTTGTCTTCATGAGGCTCTCTGGCTAGTGCAGGAAATGAACTTCAAACAAATGATTCTAATAAAAGTACAATTATAAGATGAGATGAGGGAAAGAGTATGACTTTATAAGCAGGCCTTTGGGGAAGGTGCTTAGATGGTTCCTTAAGTCACCTGCTTTGCGATGTAAGCAGAAGGTTAAAAACTAGGAAGTCAAGAACATCCCAGGCAAAAGGGACGGTGACACTGTGACATTGGCACATCCCTCCGTGGCCCTGAAATACTCCTGCAGAGTGAAATCCCCCTCCCTGGGCTGCTCAGGGCTGCAGCTGAGCAGTTCCCACCGGCTTTCTTTTCAGGGTCTCTGATTGCAGAAAACCAAGAATTGGCAAGAAAACGGAGAATGGCCAGAAGGACATACTGGGTCTCCGACTCCGCTGGCAGCTTTGTGAACCTCGGGATGGACCTAGGTGATGACATGGTTTCGGGCCTTAGCTATGTAAGTAGAGTCTTCTTAGCATCGAAACACCATGAAACCAAGTGGGAAGATAGTCTCAAGGGTCAAAAGCAATAATTTAACCTTGATTTTTGTGGGCATGTGTGAACCTAAAGGACTCCCACCTTCATGCTTCATGTATAGCCTTTTACCTATCTCCCCAGCTATACATCCATGCAGCTATTTATGCATCTATCCAACTAATCCACCAACTTATCTCTTCATGTTTACCTATCTATTCATCTGCTCTTTCATTTATTACCCATCTGTGCATTTCCTTATAATAATATGTAATAATTACCTATATACCCATCACCAAATCACCAGCTTCAGCTTTGACAACCATCCGCAGCTACTGAGCTTTCTTGATCTCCTCCCCTGACTCTCCCTACATGAAGTCAGCACTCTCCTAAGTCTTTTTCACCATTCTCTTGCTGTCCTGTTAAAATAGTGTTATGCACTGTATTGAAGTAAAAAGGTATATATCTTTTAAAATTTCAGCTGTTTCTAACTTTATCAAAAGGACTAACATGCAATAATTTGAGATTGACTGTTTTATCTATGGTTTTCTTTTTTAGCAGGCTTGCACGCTGATGGTAATTTGGCCTCACTTCCTGGAGGTAACTAACTATAACAGCCTGTATCTTTGTTTAAAATTGCTTGTGACAGGCAAACCCCAGAGAGTTTGAGTGGCCTGGCCAGTGGGTTGATGCAGCTTAGGCCCAGTGCTCCTGGCTCTTGGACCATGTGCTCTCTCATGCTTTACCTGGCAGTCTTTGAAAGGGATTTAAAAGCTATGGGAAGACTCGACTTGCCCTAGACAACTGCTCTAACATTTCCTCAGGACAGGATTTGTAAGATCTGAAAATGTTAATAATGGTCTTTTTGTTTTTCTTTCCCAAGAAAATATGTACTGTCAAGGACGGACCCTGGAGCCAGCAGGAGAGGAAACCTGACACACTGGGGAAAGAGGTTGTCCGCCCTTGTGGGAAATATGCCGCTGCCTCCAAAACCATGATTCCCATCCGTCCCAGGCCAAAGTGAGTCCAGAGGGGGCTGGGAGGGGCGGGACCCACTGAGCATGATCTTCAGGCCTTCATATTTATACCTCTCCCAAAGATTACATAGCCATGTCCCTGCATATTCATGCCACTCACCAACTAGCTCCAGAGTCACCTGAAGCACATCGAGGGGACAGGCCGAGTCAGTTCTCCAATAAGGATTTATTGAGTGCCTAAATATGTGAGGCACTGTACTAGACCAGGGGTAGGGGATAGCATTGAGTAATATATACATAATCCCCGGCATTGTAGACTTCACACAGGGAGAAAGATAAACAGCTAGGACACTCATAAATAAGTGATGTGATTGTGGGGAAGGACCTGTGAAGAAGTATGGGGTTCTGAGGGACACTGGAGCAATAAAAGCCTGATAGTTTCTGAGTGATGAAGCTGAGACCTGGAGGATGAAAAAAACACTCAGTAGCTGAGGAGGGGAAGAACAAACTAGGCAGGGGGATCTAGGCCTTACTGTGATATGGTAGGAGCATCACCAGACTCATTGTCACTGAGTTGATTCCATCTCATAGTGATCCTATGGGGCAGGGGAGAAATTTCCTGAGGGTTGCCACGACTGCAAATCTTTCTCACTGCCATCAGGTCAATGCCAATGCATAGCAACCATGTAGGACAGGGTAGAAATTCCCCTGTGAGTTTCTGAGACTGTAACTCTTTATGGGAGTAAAACGCCCTGTCTTTCTCCCATCCAGTAACTGGTGGTTTTGAACAGCTGACCTCACAGTTAGCAGCCCAATTTGCACCCACTGTGTTACCAGGACTTCTTTGTGATATGTTCAGGAACTAAAAAGGAGGCTAGGGTCCCTGGAGAGCCATGGGTGATAAGGGGCATGGCATCATAAGAGGGTGAAGAGGAGGTAGGTTTGAAACTTCTGCAGTCAGGGCCAGTCAGGGCCAGTTCTACCCTGTTCTCCCGGGTCGTCAGGACTCAGAATCCACTCAATGGCAATGAGTTAGCTTTTTGATTTTGGTCGTGCAATGGCAGTAAGAAAAAGTTTGAAAGTTTATGAGAATGACACAGAGGTATGAAGTGATCACATGCTGTTGGAAAAATGATGCCGGCAGATTTGACTTGACGTGCTTACTACACAGCTTTTAATTTGGCAGGGTGGGGTGGGGGGACGCAATACCTATGAAGCACAATAGAGTGCAGCACAATCAAGTGGAAAAAAATGAAACTTGTGCAGTTGAGGGGAAGATTACAGAGACAAGATAAAGGAGAAACAGTTCTGCCAAAATAGGTATTTTGGCACCCTAAAGAAACTTACCTTCCAATCAAGAATGATTGACAACATTAGATTACATTATGGAATATAATTACATGGCTTGAAGTGGTATGGCATTATAAAACAGCAAATCTTCTAGGATTTAGCCAAACCAAATATACTATCAAAGTTAACACACAAAATGAACCATCACGAGGAAATGCTACCAAATTGCTCTACCGGAAACATTTATTCAAGGAGCTGTGGTAGTTTAATTGGTTAATGACAGGACTGCTAGCCACAAGGTGAACAGCTCACTATGCAAAAGATAGGCTGTCTGTTCCTGTAAAGACTTACAGTCTGAGAAACCCAAAGGGGTGTTTCTACTTTGTTCTATAGAGTTTCTATGAGTCGGAATCCAATCGATGGCAGTGGGTTTAAGTGGGTTTAAGCACTCATTCATTTTATTTATAACTCCCACTTCTCTCCAACAATGAGCTCAAACAACAACAATTGTGTAGCTGGTGCAGGATGGGACAGTGTTTCCTTCTTGCCCATAGAGTTGCTATGAATCAGAATCAGCTCAATGACACCTAACGACTCCTCGCCACCATGTTTAGTCTATTAATGAACTGCAATTTCCCCCGTTTAAAAAATCGGAGCTTCTGATGGACCTTGACTACATTGTTTGCACACTGAATCGATGTGATCTCTACCCAGAACAAAGATCCTTGGCACTTTAGTTCACATGGTCAAAGTCATCTTATTACAACTAGCTCATAGTTTGTTTATATCTGATGCAATCTCTGACCCTCGGCTTCTTAGTCTCGCTGATGTCTGCAGCACGCGTGCAGCTAATCTTGCCCAAATGCACAACGCCCATCTAACAGGCCAGAGAACAGAGAAAAGAGAGCAGATCTAAGGGGAAAATTCCCACAAATTATGCATATTTGTGTTCTCAGCTTTCTCCCAGAGTATTTTTCAAAAATTTTTCTTCTTTTGAAACATGTAACATTAAAGGCAATTTTGAAATGAAAGGGAGAAAAATTACACACAATCATCATCGCTTAGTCCAACTCTTGTTTGTAAATCATCCCCAGGTTGACCTTACCCTCCCATCATTTTTATTTACTTTTAATTTAATTTTTATAGTTTTTTTGTAAAAGTTACATGAGCCAAACAGAGAAATATGAGACTCTCCTTTTATCATTCTTTTATCAATTCCAATCTCTTCTTTAAAGTCAACCACTACTTTTTTTTAAAATTAAATTTTATTTTTTTGTCAACCAATACTTCTAATAATTTGGTATAAATGTACAGGTTTACGGTTTAGTCTATCTTACTTCCTTCATTGTGGCTTGAGTGAAAGTTTACAGAATTGGTTTTCTATTCAACAATTCACACACATTTTGTTTCATGACATTAAGTGCAGTTGCCACAATGTAACGGCACTCTTCCCACTTCCTTCCTGTGTGTATAGTCTCTTTGGTTCTTTTTTCTTATCTATTCCTGCCTTATGAGCTTTTTTCTTGGGCAAATGTTGCCCTTTTGATCTGATATGGTTGATTGTTCTGAATAGGTATATCCCTGGTGTTATCATTCACCAGGCCTGTCTGTTGTTTGGCTGAAAATTGAGCCATGGGAGTGAGTTCAGTTTGAAGCCTGTAGAGTGACGAAAGGCTCCCTCCCCTGCCCCCCAGTTCAACAACTTCTACATCTATAATTCAGTGCCATTGAGCATACTCTTCATCTTGTACAACGATTATTGATATGCCTTTCCAAATTGTTCTATCACCATTAAAAGAAACTCAATGCCCCCTAAGCAAAAACTCTTCACCATGGTGATAATAGGTCACGTTTGGTTTAGGCCACAGCCTTGAGGTTCCACCAGCCTCTATTCATCCAGTAAGCTTGTTCTTTTTTTTAATGATTTTTGTTTTGCTCCATAATTTTCTCCCACTCAATCTAGGACTCCCTATGGTGATCCTTTTCAGAGCAGTTGGCAATGGACTGGGAGCCATCTGGTGCTTCTGGTTTCAGGGTTGTGAAGGCTGAGGTTCCTGTGGTGCACTAGTTCTTTGGATTCAACGTTTCCAGGCATATTTGGTTCTCTCCACCCCTCTTTGCTCCATACTAGAGGAGAGAAATAGTTTTACCTTAGATGGTTGCTCACAAACTTTTTTTTTTTTTTACAGTTTTAAAATTGTGATGTAGGTGAGGGCTTACAGAGCAGATCATCATTTTTGCATTCAACAACTTATGCCTCCCAACGTCTTGCCCTACTTCCATCATTTTTAGCCCATCTCCCTCTTGTTGAATATTATCTTACCCTGACCCAAATTAACATCTGGCTCCCCTTTAGCATATCACTTCATCTCTTCTCCTCTTTGCTCCCACTACGAGTAAGCATCAGTCTGTTTCTTTTACTGTGAAAAACTTTTATTCCTGTTTTTTAGTTATAACTGGATCTCATACATTTGTCTTTTTGTGATTAATTAATTGCACTCAGCATAATGTCCTCTAATTCCATCCATGTCATGAGGTGTTTAGCAGATTAATCATTATTCTTAAAAAAAAACCACACAACGTTTTTATTATGAATTAGGTATGAGTTTACATATCAAATTATCATTTTTTTCACTCCACAACTCAATTAACAGATCAACCCTCCCCATGGCTTACCCTCTCCACCACTCCCCCACTTCCCCATATCTCCCTCTGTTAGTGTTTTGTCTTCACCCTCAGCCAAGTTTATTCTATTTATCCTCCAGCCTATTAGTTTCCCTTTCTTCCCTCCCCTCCCACCTCTAGTAGCCATCAAAGTCGGATTCTTACGGTGTGGAAATCTTGTATTGAAGTTTTATATATCAGTGGCCTCATACAATGCTTATTGTTTTGAGATAACTTGTTTTGACTAACTTCACTTGCCACACTATCCTCCAAATACATCCACATCATGAAATCTTATTTTTGTTGTTATTCTTTAGCAATGTGTAGTATTCCATTATATGTATGTACCAAAGTTTATTTATCTCTTCTCCCATTGATGAGTACTTGTTTTGTTTCTATATTCTTGCTATTGTGAATAGTGCTACAATGAATCTGGGTGAGTATGTTTCTTGATCTTATGCCCTTTATTTCTGTAGCGTATATGCCAAGTAGTGAGGCTGCTGGACCATCTTGTATTTCTATTCCCACTTGTTGCAGGGAGTGCCATACTGTTGTATAGTCCCACCAGCAGTAGAGGAGGATTCCAGTCTCTCAACACCTGCTCCAGCATTTGTTTTCTACTTTTTAACTTTGCTGACAATTCTTGGATGAGATGGTATCTCATCATTGTTTTGACTTGCATCTCTCAGATGGCTTGTGCTCACAAGCATTTTAGACCTGAGCTACTCACCAAAGTAGAATATAGAGCATTGTCTTTGGGACTGTTTGCCAATTGAGTTTTATGATCCCTATGGCTACAGTCCTACGCCTCTCGGCACAGTGACTTATTCCCTCAAGGTATTTCCTTATCCTAAAGTTTACATATCTTTTTCCCTTGTGTGCTTTACTATATATATGGATATAATGAAAGCTCATATATGTAGAAATATCATTAAAGCTCATATATGTAGAGGTATCATCTGCCCAACCCCTAGACAGATTGTCATGAGTATGGTGCCACTTTCTTATATATGCCTGTTCATCTTGCCTGTCTGCCTATGTATTCACTGTAGATTAATGTTCATTATTACTGATAATGGAGGATAATGTATGTCATAGTATTTACCTTTCTTGTCTATAACTGTTAAGCATCTCTCTATGTCTTTTTTTTTTTTAGGGATATTGCACTGATCACTCTGTTATTATATATTATCTTTCCCATTACCCAAATTAATACATGTCTATTACTTAGTACTTTTCTCTCCTCTCCCCTTTCAACCCTGGTAACCATCAAAGCCATTTAAAAAATCATTTTATTGGGGGCACTTACAACGCTTATCCATCCATACATCCATCGTGTCAAGCACATTTGCACATTTGTTGCCATCATCATTCTCAAAACATCTACTTTCCACTTGAGCCCCTGGCATCAGCTCCTCATTTTTTCTCCTCCCTCCCTGTTCCCCACTCCCTCATGAACCCTTGATAATTTACAAGTCATTATTATTTTGTAATATCTTACACTGTCCTACATCTCTTCACCCACGTTTCTGTTGTCCATCCCCCAGGGAGGAGGTTATATGTACATCCTTGTAATTGGTGCCCCCTTTCTACCCTACCTTTCCTCCACCCTCCTGGTATCGCCACTCTCACCACTGGCCCTGAAGGGATCATCTGTCTTGGAGTCCCTGTGTTTCCAGTTCCTATCTGTACCAGTGTACATCCTCCGCTCCACCTGGATTTGTGAGGTAGAATTGGGATCATGATAGTTGGGGGGAGGAAGCATTTAAGAAGTAGAGGAAAGTTGTCTCTTTCATCATTGCTATACTGGCCCCTGACCGGCTCATCTCCTCCCCGTGACTCTTCTTTTCCTTGACTTGTTATTATAGTGGACTCATGCAATATTCATCCTTTTGTGATTACCTTATTTTCCTCAACATAATAGCCTCCAGTCTCATTCATGTCGTGAAATACTTAAAGATTCCTCACTATTCTTTGTTGTTAGGTGCTTTGTGTGATTTCTATTAAATCTATTTAGACTTTCTTTGTAGCCAAACACAACATACATTCTTCTCCCAGGGCACATGGATCATTCGCCAGAGTACATGGTACGTTTGTCTTTTTCTCTTTCAATTCTGTTAATGTTTGCTTTATGCATTTGGGGGCATAGATATTTATTATGGTTATTTATTTTTTAAAAATTGACCCTTTAATCATTAATACCCTTCCCTATCCCTTATCAAAGCCCTAGAATCACAGTAAGTGGGCTGCAACCTGCAGGGTATTGTTCAAACCCACCAATTGTGTGTGAAAGGATTCCCTCTTGACTCTGATTTCCTTTCTACCTTTTAAAAATATAAATAGCACACTGATTTTTTAAAAATCTAAAAATGGCATTTTTTACTTGCTTAAAATATTATTGGGAATCTTTCCATATTCTATATCTGGATCAGTCCTATATTTTAAAATATATGCATTCCATTCCATAGCATGAATGTACCATCATTTCTCTCCTGCTTCCCTCATTGATAAATGTTTATATTATGTTTGGCTTTTAACTATTATAAATAAGAGAGTCAGAAAAAAATGTATGTGTACATCTGGATGACCACACTGTGGTTTTTATTTAGTCAGGGGTAAAATTTCTGACCTTGAGTTTCCATCTCAGAACTATGTCATATGGGTAACTGCATTGCCTTTTACCTGCCGACTAGGTGTCCTATTCAGCACCCTTTGGATGATGCTGGCCTGTTCTCCTACCTCACCTTGTCATGGCTCACCCCATTAATGTTACAAGGCTTACAGTTTCGCTTAGATGAGAACACCATTCCACAACTGTCAACACATGACGCCTCAGACAAAAACGTCAAAAGGTAATGCCAGTGGATTAAAACCCTTCTCTTGATGGGATGGTGACCAGAATTCCTTAAGGGTAGTAAGTAGGGTCCTTCCTCATACAACCAAAGTAATAATTATTGGCTGTTTCTTGGGGCAGAAGCCTCACTTTAATCTGAGGCTTCTTAACTCAGAGTTCATGCATTACTTGAAATTATATGCTGCATTTTATTCATATAGACTAGAGATTTTTTTTCTGGGTCAAGAATTAACACCTTTTCTCATATTTACCAAAGGGCCCATGATCCCCCAAAGCTTAGAAATTACTGAGTCTAAATCCCTCTGTTTTGCCCTTCTGGATAATGTATTAACTGTGATGCTAAGAATTAAAGTTTGGATTCGTGGTTCACTCCTGTAATCATTGATCCATCACTAATTATTGGTGGTTAAATTTCCTGTTTTACTGACCTCACAATGTAATGACAATCAAATGAGGAAAAATAAATTGATATATGATTTGGAATGACATATTTCATGTTCCTACCTTTAGCACTCTCATAACATGCCATGTGTAGAACAGCATTTTCTAAAAGCGTTTCAGGAAATGAAAGTTCCATAAAACAAGACAAATGAAAAAATTAGTTATAATTGAGTTGATGCTGACTCATAACAACCCAGGTGTGCCACAGTTGATCTGCTCCCTTCAGACTTTCACTGGTTGAGTTTTCTGGAAGTAGATTCCCAGACGTTTCTCTTCTTCCTAGGTGTCTTTGGTTGTGTTTGGTTAGCAGCCACGTGTGCTAACCATTGACACCACCAGGGACTCCCGTTCCATCATCGCCCCTCTGAAAAAGTGTTCAGTAGCACAGGACTTTGTGAGATGTTGCTAGGTCTCAGCAATTTTCAAAGCACATTTAACGTGTTTAAGGCACTGAGAAAACCTGCTGAATAGAAAATGGGTAAACTTGGACTCATTGCTTCTCAGACTTATTCATCTAAAAAGTGGTTCCAGGGAAAACTTTGTGAATAATGCCAGATATTGGTCAGAATCCTACTTCATTCCAGTTAGGATGTTAGACATGTGACTTGCTCATTTCTGAGCATTTTTTGTTATGCATAAAATAATGGACATCATAAAATTTTTAAAAAATCATTTTATTAGGGGCTCATACAACTCTTATCACAATCCGTACATACATCAATTGTGTAAAGCACATTTGTACATTCATTGCCCCCATTATTCTCAAAACATTTCCTCTCCACTTAAGCCCCCGGCATTAGGTCCTCATTTTTCCCCTCCCTCCCCGCTCCCCTCCCCCTAATGAGCCCTTGATAATTTATAAATTATTATTTTGTCATATCTTTCCCTGTCCGACGTTTACCTTAACCTACTTTTCTGTTGTGCATCCCCCAGGGAGGGGGTCACATATAGTTCCTTATAATAGGTTCCCTCTTTCCAACCCACTACCCTTTACCCTCTACCCTGAACCCACTCCCTCTACCCTCCCAGTATCACCACTCACACCACTCGACCTTAAGGGATCATCTGCCCTGGATTCCCTGTGTTTCCAGTTCCTGTCTGTACCAGTGTACATCCTCTGGTCCAGCCAGACTTGCAAGGTAGAATTCGGATCATGATAGTGGGGGCAGGGAGGAAGCATTTAGGAACTAGAGGAAAGCTGTATATTTTATCGTTCCTACATCGCACCCTGACTGGCTCATCTCTTCCCCGAGACCCCTCTGCAAGTGGTCTACAAATGGGCTTTGGGTCTCCACTCCGCACTCCCCCCATCATTCACTATGGTAAGATTTTTTGTTCTGATGATGCCTTATACCTGATC